CGCCCAGCAGTGGAAACAGCAGCAGCAATGGTGGTGGAGCACCGACCATTAATGTCACCTCACCCTCAGCTTCAGCAGTGGGTGGCAGCAACTCCTACAGCAGCTCCTCAGACATGTCTGTTTATCTGCCCAATGGCAATAGCAGCATTGGTAGTGGCAGTAGTGGTGGAAGTCGTCACTACAATGGTCTGAAGGCAAATGGCGGGAGTGGAGGCAGAAAGAACAAAACAAATGGAGCGAAAAATGCCGCCGTTGCAGCTTCAAAGAAAGCCCACCTGTCTGACTACTCCATCAACTCTATTCTCTCAAAGAACTGCAAACAGCAGCAGCAAAGTTCTCCTTTTAAAGGAGATGCACTAGACGATTACGAATCCTCCTCCTCGATCAGTTCAGTCTCCTCGATTGCGAGCAGATCAGGCAGCATCAGCAGTGTGTCAGAAGACCACCATCACCACCTGAACCATCAAAACCTCAGCAACAGCAGCAGCAGCAATGCTTCAGCAGCAAAGCGACGTCGTCAGTCGTCGAACAACAACAACAACAACAGCGATGAGACGGCCTACGAGAAGGGCTCTGGCTCTGGAGATGAGGATGACAGCTCCGATGAGCTGATTGACGTCGTCGACGACGACAAGCCGATGAACCTGTGCACAAACAGCGCCGCCCAGGCGGCAGTGCAGTCCGCCTTTGGGGAGCATTTTATCTCCAATCTGATGGCGGCACGGGAGGCAGTGGCCGCCGCAGCCGCCTCTTCCGGTGCTGCTGGCAATGCTGTTGCTGGTGGTGGTGGTCTGCCATTGAGCCTCTCCGAACAGCAGCACCAGCTGTACCAGCACATTCACCAGCAGTACAGCAGTGCAGTACTGCCCAATGGCAACAACTTTATCACACCACCCAACTCGCCAACCTTTAACCCGGCCACTGCGAGTCTGTACGGTCCGAATGGAGCAGTGCCCAATCCTTTTGCCGCTTCATTTGCTGCCTCACGCCACTTTGCTGCCGCACAGAACAGCAAGGATCTCACCGCCGATCTGTCCAATCCGCTGATCAGCGGCAAGGAGGGACTCAAGCTGATGGACGGTCTGTCGCCCTTTGAAGCGCTGGAGTTCTACCGTTTCCGACACAACCTCTCTGCTGGACAGCAGTCTGACAATCAACAGCAGCACAGCCATCCTCATCATCCTCTGACTCAGCACCACCAGCACTCTTCCCCGCCGTCTGGTCATCAGCAGGACTCTCTGATGCGCTTCTTTCAAAACTTTCCCTCGTCGATCACTAGTCCTCGAAGTGCCGGTAACGGTCTTCTCAATGGCCACGACGTCATCTCCTCTTTTGCCGGACTGTCGGCGGCTGCTGTGGCGGCTGCAGCAGGAGTTGGCGGCAGCAAAATGGGCGGCGGCTCTGGTCACCACCATTCAAAGGGGCATGGATCACTCTTCTCCTCCAGCGGTGGATCCTCCAATGGAGGTGGTGGTGGCAGTGGCAGCAGCACCGGCTCCTCTTCAGGCGGGGGCGGCAGTGGTAGTGGTGGCAATGAGCGCACCTTTGAGTGCAAGCAGTGTGGCAAGCAGTTCAAACGATCCTCGACGCTCTCCACGCACATGCTGATCCACTCGGATACACGACCATTTCCCTGCGCCTACTGTGGTAAGCTTTTCAATCATAACTTCATTAAGAGCATTTTTTCTAATAAAAATTTTTTGCAGGCAAACGATTTCACCAAAAGTCGGACATGAAAAAGCACACGTACATTCACACTGGTGAAAAGCCGCACAAGTGCACCGTTTGTGGAAAGGTAAGAGCATTGTCATTTCCTAAGTTGAACGTTCATCTAATCAATTTAATTCTTCCATTTTAGGCCTTCTCTCAGTCGTCCAATTTGATCACGCACGCTCGCAAGCACACCGGCTACAAGCCCTTCGTCTGTGACCTCTGTCCGCGGGCCTTTCAGCGCAAGGTGGACCTCCGCCGACACCGAGATGCACAGCACATTATCGCCCAAGGTACCGGCGGCAATCCTGGTGGCCCTGGGGGACCAAATACGGTCAATGGCGTCAACGGCATCAGCGGCAGTGGTGGCCACCACCTGGTGCCGCCCTCACCGCCGGTGATGAACAGTCACAGTCACCACAATCAACTGCGGGTGATGGCCAATGGACTGGGCCCTACCTCACCGGCACTTCTCGGCTCCCTAGCCGCCTCACTTTCCGTGGTCACCAGTCAGCCGATGGTCATGTAAAAGACCCTTTTTCTCTCTCTATCTTTCTCTTGTCAAAAGCGCAGCACTTTTCTAGTGCCAAAAAATACGAAACTGCAATCGCAGCAGCAGCAAATCAGTAGTGTTTTCCTTCACTTCCACTCTGAAAACTTTGATTTTATCTCCTCCTTATCTCTCCATGTTCTCTACTTTCATTACCTACAACTTTGTTTCTTTAATCATCCCTACTACTATTTCTTTCCTTTTCCTCTTCTTTTTCTCAGTAATCGTCCACTTTTTACTGCAATATCACCACACACACACCCACAAACCTCTTTTCTCTCAGCTTCGTCGCTTCGCACAGTTCGATGAGCTTTCTCCAATCTGCAATCGTTCTCACCACCTTTGACCGTTTCTAATCGCAATCCATAGTCAAACCACACACACCCAAACACACACACTTTCTCTATATTTTATCGACTTTGNTTTTTCTTTCAGTAATTGTCCACTTTTTACTGCAATATCACCACACACACCCACAAACCTCTTTTCTCTCAGCTTCGTCGCTTCGCACAGTTCGATGAGCTTTCTCCAATCTGCAATCGTTCTCACCACCTTTGACCGTTTCTAATCGCAATCCATAGTCAAACCACACACACCCAAACACACACACTTTCTCTATATTTTATCGACTTTGTAAATAGTTCATTACGTTTTTAGATGCATTTGTTGTTGGCGCACTCTTCTGTTCTGCCTCTTCACTATCGTTCTCTCTTTATTACTAACTACTGTTACCTGACTTGTCCATTATTTTCTCTATTTGGTTTCACACGATTCGTGTACAGTCACAACACATGCAGCACAAAACACTGCTATCGTCACACTCTTTCACATGCAGAATCACATTTCATCACGTGCATTTGTCACCCCCAATGACTTACAAGATTGTTTATCCTTTTAATTAAAAATTTTATTCACTTCAATCGCTCCGAGTTTAGTTTAGATGCACTGAATGAGAAATGTGCACACTTTAATAATGCTACAAATATAAAGCAAAGATGAACTCAGCCAGACACACACAGCATGAGCCTTTGGATATCAATAATGTTTGAATAACATAACCAATAAAATAAGCACTCAACTGACTAAATTGAGCTGCTGTTGATGCTGAAGCTGTTCAGTTGAGGCGGAACATGTTCAACAAGTCGTCGTTGTAGTTGCGCGCAATGTCGTCGACGATGTCGGAGAGCTTCTTGCACTGGTGAAAAAATGCAGCCAGATTAGAAAGTCATTTTCGAGATCAAGTACCCCTTACCCAAATTTTAAACTCATTGTACATAGCTCGATCCATCTTGACGTCCTCCTGGGCGTCGTAGACGTCGCGACGGAAGCGCCCACGATCATCGTAGAACGGGCGCATCGGTTCAAAGCGTTTAGTGAGATCTTCAATCTGTGGTGCAGAATGAGTTAAGAGTGCTCTTACAGCTAAGAAACCTTCCTTACCTCATCAAAGAGCATCTGAAAGGTCTCATCACGCGTGCCCGGATTGAGAAAGTTCTCCAGGTCGTACTTGTCGGTGTTCTCCAGACAGGACTTGGTGCGCAGCTCATTGGGGTTGCAGGTGGAGAGCGTGGTGAGGAAGGTCACCTTGCCGCCGGTCGCGTCCGCCACCTTCTTCTGCACCTCCTTCGCGGACTTCTTCTTGCCGCGACGCGTCTGAATGGCCACCAGCGACTTGATGATCGACGCGTAGGAGTGCTTCAGCATCTGCACGCCAGAGTTCAGCTCGTTGATCTGATGAATGGGGTAGATAGAGCTAAGAAGCGATCATTTTCGAAACTGCAAAACTCACCTCATCAAAGAGTTGCTCAAACTCTCGCGAGGTGATCCGCTCTGCCATGCTCAGCGGCTTCTCCTTCTTCTCCTTCTTCATCTGATTGATGGTCGGCTTGGTGAACTCCAGCGGCTTCTCTGCCGGCGGGGGCGGGGGCGGCGCTGGCTTCTCCTTGTGCTTGCTCTTCACCACCTTCGACTCCACCTCACTGCCGCCCTCCTCCTCGGCGGCCTCGTAAGCGGTAGAGGAGGAGTCCTTGTCCTCGGCAGTGCCGTACTCAGCGCCTCCTCCCTCTTCCTGCTGCTGCTCCGAAGTCTGCTTGTTCTTCGCCTTCGCCTTCACCTCGGCGGTGCTGTCATCCGAGGTGGCGGAGGAGTAGGCGGAAGAGGAGGAGGCTGCGGCGGCGGCCGCAGACTTCTTTCCCGACTTGACCGACTTGGGCGACTTCTTCTGGTGGGCCTTCGTGGCGGCAGAGGGGGCCGCCGGTTTACGCCCTCCCGGCGATCGCTGCTTCCCGCCCTTAGAGACCTTGCTGCTGGGCGCAGACTTTGACTGGCTGTAGCTGCTGCTGCCACCACCGCTGCCCGAACTTCCTTTGCTGCTCTTGCCTCCCTTGGCGGAGGCCACCTTCGAGTTGACCGCCTTGGAGCTGGCAGCCCCGCCGCCCTTGCTGCTCTTGGCAGTGCTCGCCGCCACTGCAGTGCCAGTGTTTGGCTTCTTCGAGCTGGCCGACTTCTTCTTTGGCGACTTTGAGGGCTTGTTCGACTTGCTCGACTGTCCGTCTTTGCCCATCCTGAGAGAGAGTGGGTGCTGGGTGGGAAAATGCGAAAGTGGTAAGCAACTCAGATCAAACAGACGCAAAGGTGACGTTGAAACGCAGACAGAAAAAGAAGAAGCTGTTACTAGCTGCACTAATGATTTACAAAAAGTAGGTTACCTTTTCTGTTTTCAGCTTTTTATGCAAGCGATCACCAAATGTTCTAAAATACGTGTGAAAAAATTTGACAAGTCAGCTTTAGAAATCTTTCATTCCTAAGCGCCTTTGAATAATTCATAAAATTTATTGCTAAAAATGCAGTGTGACTTGCAGCGAGTGAAACGGAAGCGGAAAACGCACATGGGCGTTGAAGAGTAAAAGAGAGAGATGGAGGGAGACGCCCATCCGCCACAACCGCCATCACCGCTAGACAAATTCAATGTCATTGAGCGAGCGGACACGGGGCAGCTTCTTGCCCTCCTCGTCCAGCTTCTGAATGGAGCGACGGTGGGTGAGCACCAGAATGGCGTTCAGACCGGCGGCGATGGCCGCTCGGGCCACCGTCACGTCCTTTGTGAGGAAGAGCATCGTCTCCGGCGGGGGTGGCGGTGCTCCACCACCACTTCCATTACCTCCATCTGCCTGCATCTGGGCAATCATGGCGCCGTAGGTGGCCGCCTCGGTCAGCTCGCCGTGCTCCGTGTCGAAGTAGCCGGCAAAGTAGGGCGTCAGGTCGCCGTGTGAGGTGTG